CGATGCGGGACTCGATCCCGGGACTCCAGGATCATGACCTGAGCCGAAGGCAGTCGCTTAACCAACTGAGCCACCCAGGCGCCCCAGGATGTTTTTTCTTCGTAGATTCCAACCCCCGTTTCTGCAGGCCCTGAGGAGCTTCGCATCTTCTCCAAAGTTAATTCACTCATCCAGTTCTGAACCCCCAAGTGGAAGCAGGAGTAGCAGGAGAAGGGATGTGGCAGAGCAGTTTCTTCTTTTCATCTCAAGAGAATTCACATGGGCTGGAAGCCGGGGTGCTTTTTCCTCCCTCCTTCCTTCTACTGTGTCTCTCTTTTCTTCTCCTTAAGCCCACAGTGGCTGTGGAATTTATATGTGCTGCTGCCTAGGGAATCCAGGACTCCTCTGTCTTCCTTCTTGCAGGGAGGAGCAGGCTGCTCCATTACTCTCTGGCAATCAAGGGAAGAGGCTCTGATGGAGTGGAGTGGCAGGGAAGAAGAGAGATGTCCCAGGTGCAAACAGGGCCCAGAGCCCAGATTTGAACAGTAACAGGGTATCAAGCACGTCAGCATGGGTGCTATCACTCACTGGTGCGGAACCCTGGGTGAAAGCTGCTCTCCACACAATGTCTCAGTGTTCAGAGAGGCGCTTGGGCTTCCTGTCCACAGGTGGGAGTGGTAAGGTCAGGGTGGCCGAGGAGGGTATAAGCCGGGTCTGTCTGGGGGGCTGCTGTACAGTGACAGGAGAACTAGATGTCAGAGGGTGTAGAGCATCTTGGTCCTTAACAGAAAGGAGCGGCATTGATGAGGGGACAAAAATGCCTCATCTCAATATCTGAAAACTACTCTCTTCTCTCAATCATCATCCAAATCCTTTTCATTGGCTTAGCTGCAGCGCAGAAATTTACCTCCTTGTTCCTACTACTTGAGTGCGCTCACCCTACGAAGATTTCCTCAATTACTAGATGAAATTAGCTCACCTCCAGAGGTTCTGTCAGGCCTGGAATGAGAATGCCCATATTCCTTCCTTCTCTCACCTGCATTCAGGATTTCCCATGGCACTTACTCATCAGGTCTCCATAGGCTCCTGCAATCTATGACAGTTTCTCACTTTCTTTGTTTTTCATGATGACATTTTTGGTTTTAATATTCATTCATTTGTTTGTTTATTTATTTGAGAGAGAGAGAGAGCATGCATATGCATGAGGGAGTGGGGTGGGAGGCAGAGGGAGAGAGAGAATCTTAAGCAGACTCCCCACTGAATGTGGAGCCCGAACATGGGGCTCAATCTCATGACCCTGAGATCATGACCTGAGCTGAAACCAAGAGTGGGATGCTTAACTGACTGTGCCACCCAGGCGCCCAATGATAACACTTTTGAAGAGCACTAGTCACACATTTTATAAAACATCCCACAACTTTGGTTTGTCTGATTTCTTATCACTCATTTGATTTCTTATGATTAAATTGGGGTTATGAATTATTGGGAGGTATACCGCAGAGATTCTGTGTCCTTCTCTGGGCCCTGTATCAGGGAGCTCATGCTATCAACGTGACTTATTACTGCTGATATTAACCATGACCACTCTGCTAAGGTGGTGTCTGACAGGATTCTCCACTGTAAATTTACTATTTTTCCCTTTGTAATTATTAAATATTTGGGGGGAGATGTTTTGATAGTCTAATTTTTTAAAGTATTCTCTACGCTCAACATGGGGCTCAAACTCATGACCCCGAGGTCAAGAGTCACATGCTCAACCAACTCAGCCAGCCAGGTGCCCCACAAATATTCTGTGTTTGCTTAAACTTTCAGCCATTAATTTTGGTATCCATTGGTACATCTTGCCGGCAGCAGTCATTACTCTGGGGTTGTAATGATGTCCCTCATTCCTTCCATAGTTATTCATTGGAATTCTTCTATAGGGTAAACTTGTGTCTTCTTTGCAGTTTATTTATTTGATTATTTGTTTATATCATTATGAACTCATAGATATTTATTGTGTTCTGGGAGTTATGGTCCAGGACTGTCACCAGTTATTTTGTTGCTCAAAATGACCATTGGGAACTCTTTGGGGTTGGCCCCAGTGTCTTTTTAGTATCCTCCATCCTCTTTTTATTTTTTAATAGATTTTATTCATCCATTTAATACACACAGGGAGAGAGAGAGGGAGCACAGCAGGGAGAGTGGCAGAGGGAGCGGGGGAAACAGGCTTCCAGCTGAGCAGGGAGCCCAATGTGGGACTCGATCCCAGGACCCTGAGATCATGACCTGAGCCAAAGGCAGATGCTTAACTGACTGAGCCACCCAGGGGCTCCCCTCCATACTATTTTTGAAGTATTTTCTTACATTTGTCATCACAAGATGTTCTATGCTCATTTTGTATTTTCTCTGCCTAG